AATTTTAATAATATCCGCCCACCTACGTCTCGGTGTTACAACTGATCTCTTTCAATAATATTTTACATGCAATGTGTATAATGTTCCAATTTGAACCATTCGTGTTACAAGTCTCGTTCATCTCAAACCTTCATTACTTAATCACTCTAAGAATATGAAGGGAACGGTAAGCCACAAATTATTACTGTCATAATTATATTTTTTGTTCCCATCTTACACCAACTATCAAAAATCGACTTTACTTGTATAGTCTTTGCTCAAGATGACGGACCAAGAGCCACACATATAAAAAAGTAAATTATATAAATATGTAATGTTTAATTTACTTTTCCGTACAGCAAAGGGAAAAATAAAATATTTAAAATAGTAGCACACATGTCATCTCCTAATTCAACACGGATGTTATTTTGATTTGTTGGTATTGTTCTCAAATACGCCAAAGCAGAGCTTTCAAATAATTTTTGGCAATTCTTACACTAAGTGTTACTGTGACCACCGTCGTCATTATTTTCCCAATCTCCATACTAACCAACAGTCAAAGGAAGAAACACGTCATGTCTCAGAAAATCCACAGGTGTCAATGTTTACGACAAACAGGGCTAGCAAAGTTAAACGTATATCAGCGAACTCCTCTTCAGCACACAGCGATCATTAACCCTAACGAACACGCCGTACGAAGAAAGTGAGCTAATTCAATGTAACATAGTCCCTTTTAGCCGTCAATAGCTAATCAGCTGACAAATGAGTTCCCGACCTTTATGAAATTCGCAGGAACATCACCGTGACCATTGAGAAACCATAAGGACTTATCTCAGGCTAGTTACGAAATTTCGGTAAGATCCATTTTAATATCAATCTCTCATATCTACGTCTTTGGATTAAAATTCCATAAAACCATATTAGATTTTCAAGTATTCATCATGATAGAAAGCTTCAAGACTGGACTGAAAAAAGAACGTGGAGCCCACTTCAGTGGCATGTGGGTAACGTGACCTCCGATGGCACGATATTCATACTCAACGCCCTGATGATGGAGGCAGCAAGCACCTCTGAAACGTAAATTTATGCCAGGCTATACGGCGCAATAACCCAGCTGACAGCCATATTCATACTCGCTGCCGTGAGAACCTCCAATTTTTCCTTCATCATAAAGTTTCACTTTCATGCAGTTAAAATGATAATGTAATTGCATAAACAACTTCATGTGTCCTTTCCTTACCCAAGGTCTTCGTAATGTTCCCTAATTAAATATTCCTTTTCTAAGCTTTATACATCTATGACGTGTTTGTATGACAGACCTAAAGCGCGCCCCACAGATTTAATCTTTTCGAAATTGTCAATATTTTGCTGCTAATATTAAGAGTAAACGGCCAATCCTTTCAAAACCCAATAGACCTCATTGCTGTAATCAATATATCTGAGCCTTGAGCCCAGACTCCCACATAATGTCCACAGGCAGACCGCTTCGTTCTGTACTGCCCTTCAAATAAGCATCAAATCTCACGATTAAATTCTATTATGTCGGAAGTCAGCAAGTCAGAGCGAGAGACAATTTCTTACAACAAAAGAGGCCAAATTACTCTTTTGTATAGTCAACATTTCGGAAAATACGCTGTCTTAGTTACAGCAACATAACAGCAATTTGATGTTCTATTCTCGTATTCTTGTAGCGTACCTCAGGTTCCCTAACATATTTTTGTAAATGATTTACTGCTTATTGTCTTCCTGTGACCCACACGGTCACATTAAGTAAAGGTCCGCTGCAACACGTTAATTCATTTAGTATTTTGCATACACTCAAGGAATCTGGTACCTATTAATGCAATTTTCCCGGAGGCAAACCGGCGTTCATATTTAAATTCCTTGCCAACAACAACAGAAACACGACGGCCATGAGAAGTTACACGCAGCAAAAAAAGAAAAATCCCCTGAGATATTTTCGAGACGTTTTATTCTTCTACGTTTCGGTTTATATTACAATTTGGGCCCCGACCTCCTTGAAAACACGTCGATAGAGAACTCATATCCATGATTAAATATAAAATAACATAAACCCATTTATACACTCACGCGGTTTAATTTAGGTACAAAATTAAAAGAAAGAAATGTAAAATGCAGATATATCGACAACTTTTATTTAGAGAATTTTTTCACCAAGTCTTATTCTTTCAGAAAGCTTAAAACTTCGTAGTTGTCAGGCTAAATTCATGACAGATTAGGCATCTACCTCATATTCTTTTGTGCAAAGCAACGCTCTTGAATTTTATTATCATTAATTTACCGATTAATTATAAGAGAAGAATTTGAGGTGGTATTTACAGCAGTGGATGTAATTTTGATATTTGTAGTCGAAAGGCTGCATATGAAGCGTGTAGGTGTGACATGGAATTTACTCGAGAAACGAGAAAACCTACTAAAAAAAAGCACAGAGCGATCAGACATCATTATTTATACCAGAACCCCACAGAAAGCACTATATCATGTAGACGGTAGAATTTGACGCAGGGCCGTTACTAAGTGAGTGAGGGGAGTTATTGCGAATATGTTGTGATTCTGATCAGTTCTGTAGTTCATATAATTAGATAATGGACCGATGAATTGACGCTTGTTAAATCTGAACTTGAGCTTAACAGACTGAAATCGTCCTGTGATGAGTTAACAGGAATAATTTTCCACTTAATCCCTAGCAGCTGCCTTGCACTCCCTGTGACCCGGTTATGCACTTACCTCTTTCCGGCGGTAGTTATTCAATTTCGCTCCTTAGATATATCTACAGTTGCAGCCTCACAAGACGTTTCTTACTTCAACATCCTGTGGTAACCAATAGCAACTAACTCCGCGGCACAGTCTCTGTTTCATCAGTTAACATTTATCCGAATCTTAAAAAAGTCTATCAAGCCGTTTTTACTGTTACTAATTTCTAGACTTCGTCCATTGTCTGGTATTCTGAATAAAATCACGACGTTTCGAAAAGTGGGTGTTTCGGTCCTCAGGTACAGAATTCCTACTCAGTCGGGTCTTCAGTCCTGAAGATGGAGAGAGCATGTTGCTTCGAAATGTCGGTTCTACAGATGAGTCTACACGGCGCCAAAACACATAACATCATCATCATCATCATCAGCCTCACCGCCGTGAAAATCTCACATTTAGTTGAATGTTTATCATGTCGAAACTTGTTAAAAATAATTATAAACATCAGTTGGTCTATTTTTGTGTCACGTTACCAATTTCTTGCAATATATAAGCTGTTTTTGACAAAACACTACGGGTCAATTCCACTTCACAGTAAAGTACAGATTATATTAAACTGACGAACTTCACCCAGCAACTTTTAATATTAACCCCAAAACCAAACTAAAACAAAAATCCTTGAGTAGTTTGGAGGTGGAGCAGACTAGACTTCTTCAATCACCCACACAACTGTCGATTCTCGATTTGATTCTATCAGGTCTGTAACAGAATTTCGGATTCTGCGACGTCACACGGCGATAAAAAATCGCTCTCCTCCATGTTGACGGCAGACAGCAACCAAATTCTGCGTATCGTTTAGTTTCCACGCAGTACGCAAACAAGTTACGTCACTCGTCAGTTGTAGGTGATCCTCTTATCGCCGTGCACCTCGGCATCATCTTCGGCATAAATGTGATGCGGGTCAGCCTACGCGGTGTACGAAGGCGTTTTCCTTTTTCTTTTCAAGTTTCAGTATGACAAGGAATGCCAGTAAATTGATCCCGTACAGTCTGAAACATTTTCTTTTGAAACACGATCCTTCCCCCCCCCCCCCCTGCCATGTTCCAAACCGCCCAGCCAATTGTCACCAACTAGATGTGTAACCCAATGGCACTGGAGCACGTTTTCCTCTGGATTCACCAGTTTTACCTTACGTTCATAAATCACCGGCACTACGGGTACGAAAGACCCAACCAGCCGTCATGTCGCTACAACGTCAGTTCTCAGTTTTGACTTCATTACTCTAGAATGGAATGAGATTTATTCAGAAGCTTGGAGGTTAATAATGATGAGTATTTATAATACGTAAAAGTGTTCTTTCAGACTTCGCATATCATCTTAATTATAAAATTACGACGTTTCAGAAGCTGGATTTTGCTTTCATTATAAGGTACAAAGGTTTTCTGTCCGATTTCTCCCTTTTCGCGTGATAACGAAAGCAGGAACCAACTTCCGACAAGTTGTAATTTTATAATTTAGACGATGGCCTAAGCCAAAAAGAAACAATTTACACGAGATTTCTTTCGCTGAGCAATTCAAGACTTCTTTTTTTGTGTTTGTATGCAATGCAAAGAGAAGACGTTGTCACTTCGTCCGTATATAAGTAAAAGAACTGTCAGACCCAACTGCACCTTGGTTTTCGAAGTGGACTCTTTCCTTGACGTTTCAAGAACAAATTATTGCAGGCATCTTTTTATTTTCTTCACACGTACTACAAACCTCGTCTATCTCATACTTCTACAAGACATGAAATAACAAGACAGAATGATAAGTTAAACACTTTCAAGTCGCTAAGGCCAATTTTTAATTTTATCTCCTAACTAGTTCTTCGGTAATAAAAGTTGCCTCTTTATATGTGGATCACCAATAAAAGACTTTTTGTGTGTATTGTACACGCTCCCTGACCTGAACCTTACAATCTTCATCGCCCTGGCAACATCAGATGAAGAGTCCTCCATACCACACTGCATCTGAATTAACTAGCAACAGTACCGAATTATACTTGTATCATACCCACAAAAACACAGTGCCCCAGCTTCAAATCCCACTCCATCTTCCTGTCCCTACGGGCTGCACTCAGCAAATAAGGGTATATGGCACGGGTAATTATGTTGAGTAATTATTTTAGAAACACGGCCAAAGACAGGGGCATC